TTCTTTTAGTTATCCACCGAATGGAATTGTTGTTCATCTGATATATTTCAAGAATCTTCTCCTCACCCTCTTCCATCTACACATCCTGCATATAAACTTCATACAATCAATGCAACACAATGGTCACTTTATTTATTCAATATCAATTTAATTTTAACTAATCATTCTAATGAATCAGATAATAGTAATAGTGTCATAATTAAACATCACCATTGTACAGATTCTACTAGTCTTTTACATCAATCCACAACAATTAAACGATCTACACATAATAGTAGTAATAATCCTGTTACTTTAGGTGTCAGTGTATCAATAAGACGTTTGTCAAATAATAATATTGATAACAATAATTCATATGATAGTCGTCATGTCAGCGATGTAGTTGATAGTGGACGTGGCTGTAGTAGTAGTAGTTCTTCTACAACTGTTGTCAATGGTCAACAATCAAGTGTACCATCAATTGAAACAGTTAATAATGATAATCATTTACAAGATACACAATATAATGCTGTTTTTGTACGAACTGTCATTGATGGTGGTCCTGCTTATCAAGTAAGTGATTTGTTTATTGTTTATTTTCTATTTTGGAAAAATAAAAATCTTGCTTGTAAGATTGTTTTGTAAAATTTTGACAATGACAATCCTACTGGATTATTTATATATATTTTAATTTGTGATTGTTTTCTTTAAAATAGAGAGAGAAAGAGAAAAAAAATCAGTGAACTGTGTTTACTTTAAAAAAAATTGGTCTTGATAAAATAAAGGGAACTTTATTTTAATAGTCAAGTTAATTTAAAATAAGATTGATTTGAAAATTTCATAGTTATTGATCGTGCTCAAATCCTAGTGTAGTGAAGGAGAACACAGGTGAAGGCAACCGAATTATATTTAACGAAAATTACAGAGAGTTATTCAGTAAAATAGGAAAACCATATCGTAAACGGTTAATTTGCAAATCTTCAATCCATCATCAATCCTTTGTCTGACATTTCACTATTCATGCGTTTCATACAAATTCCATTGTGTTCCCACTCTCCCTTTCTTCTTGATCTTCCCCAATGTTCTGCTGCCAGACATTACGTTAACACCCACGTCATATACTACTTATAAGTAGCGCGCACCACACTAGTATACCAACTCATTCTTTAATACTATAGTGCCTTCACATAAACTGGAGTTCGTTCATACTTAATTTGATTAGGCCTTTTTGATTAACTTATGTAACCATTCTATTTGTATTACAACAACTCATATGTACACCATTGGTACTTTTTTATTGTCTGATTTGTATGAGCTTGTACGACTGAGCATTGCTTACGTCTACGCGCAACTTACTCATCCTTTTCGCTTTAATGTTAATCTCTTAATATCCCTATGACCTCACATGACTTGTCTCGCTTGCTTTTAACCTTGTCAATCATTCGTCGCTTTTATTCATGTGTGTGCATGCCTATTTCGCTTGTCACATGTCTGTCTTATTTTTTGAATTTGATCAAGTTAGACATTAACAGCGTTAGATACCGGCTCAGTGGTCTAACGGTTAGGGCGTTCGCGCACCATACCGGAGGTCGTGTGTTCGAACCCTGCGGGGTGCAGGAGTCTTGGATGCGCACTGCCGAGGAGTCCCGTACTAGAACGAAACGGCCGTCCAGTGCTCCCAGGTTTCTAATGGTGGTTTGACAGTGATCAATTCATGGTTTCAATAATGTCTTATTTTCGTCTGACTATATATTCTTAGTCATGCTCTATCTCTGGGAGTTGGCTCATTAGCCTTCTCCACACCACTCCCTTCGCCCATTCGTTCGCATTGTAATCCTAGGAGTTGACTCAAAAGCCTTCTCCAATTCCATTCGCTTCTTGCGTTTTATTCACTGCTTCACTGCTTCTCCTTGTGGTGTGTTCCAAATAAACGTATTCAACACTTCGAATTCGCCTTCTGATTTATAAACCGTCAGACTCTATTTATTAACGATTGTCTGGACGAGCTAATTACCGAGCTTAAGAACACGCAGTCAGTCGACACACTACAATAATACACAACAAGATTTATGAACTAGATTGTATGCTACTTTTTAAAAAAAATAGTTATGAATGAAACTGATCAAAATGTTGTAGTTGAACAATTTAGATGTATTCACTTTCAGTTGATTTTACAAATATCCATGTTCTTTGAGGTGGAATGCATTGATGGAAGAACTACTAAGAAAAATGGCTTGATGAAATCAATGTTTTTAATAAGAGTTGATCTCTAATTAATTGTTTAGTAGAAAGGTTAAAGCTTAAAGTGTTCAAAATTATTGACGAATGACAAAACACCACTTTTATTGGACTTTACAAAGGTGATTAACATAGAGCATTTCTTAACTAACTTACGTATACAGAATGCAAGCTTGGTAAACTTGTACAATACTAAAAGTGAATGAATGTATTAACACTAGATTAACTAAATATCAATTGATCTCAACTTGTATTATTTGAATATCAATAGAATTGATTTAATTTTTAGTAAAATATATCATAATCAGTGAATAATATACAAAATAATATACGAAAATCTATTAACCGAATGTCATTAACCAAGTCAATCTGTGTATGTGAAGTCTGACTATTCATTTGTGATTGCTGATTATCTTAAAATCTCACTTGTTTATGATACTTTTGTCTAGTTTGTTTTGTTCTACTGATAAATCATGATTAGTGGGATTTGGTTGCTATTTCAGGAACGAGAAAAACATGGTCATCATTATCAATGAACAACGATCAACACAATATCTCTAATCTACCAAAGTTGAATATTTAAATGATTACATTTATGTTTAATAGCCTACAAGGAATTCCATCCAATAATATACAAATCCCCGAAGATGTTGGGTTTTGATCCTTGATAAGAATCCTAAGTATACAGTGATGGTTATCTATTTGAAGTTAGGTCCTGTTAATAAACGACTACCAAATACACTAGTTTTCTTGATATAAACTTCTTCCATATATATAGAAAGTGTAAATGTGTTGACGTTGATATATAATTCAAAGTATAAATTTACAATTAGTTTACCATATACAAAATTTACACACAAAATCAGATAATATAGAAAAAGTTTATAGAAAAAAGTAGAATTATTACTTTTCCACACTATATGAGAATGTTTACATTGTTTGGGAAATCTTAGAAAAAGAAAATTATTATTAATTTTACAGACAAAATAGTTTTTCTGTTAATATTATTATTCAACACAATTTTCACAAGCTGTTAAGATTGTGTCTGTTGGGGATGTTAGATAAACCCAGAACTCGCTTGTTAAATGCCTTATTTTGGTTTTCTTGTTTGCCAGCATGGGCTGATCAGTTGACCTTGAGATTTCATTACCCATCAGGAAAAATCCATGGCTGTGATTGACTGCTATGTACTTTAGTGTGCTATCTTTGTGACTGTCCCAATGATGTTTCTATGGTGTATAAATAAACGAGAGTTGTATGCTTGATTGGTCTGTGATTGCTGGGTGTTTGTAGAATATACTTTCTACGCTTACCAAGCCTTCTGTTTTGCAGTTTGGGATTCAAGGTAGCCTACGTGGACGTTGGTTGATTGTCTCGTTCGCGTTTATCGACTAAGGTAAACTCGTAATAGCCTCAAGCATATTTAGTGACGAACATAACAGTTTCACATTCAAATAGTAAGTAATTGCAATGCCATAATAAATAGGTAACATAGTATTTTATTCCAAAATAATGAGGATGAACAATATGAGGCTTGTATAACTGATTGATAAAGCTTGGTGATTATTGCATAAATAGTACTGGTTCGAGTTTATAATTAAGAAAGGATTTCGCTATGTGTTGATGTAATTTCAAGTTAACACGAATTTGGGGATTTTATGGTGGTAGTGTTTGGTTCTCTGAGCTGGGTGTTTTGGTGGTGAAGCTTTCATTGTTCTTCTGCTGAACAACAACGTCAGCACAAACTTCTTCAGATTGAAGAAGTGAAGTATTCGAATTTCTTCACGTTTGACCTGTAGCTAACCTCGATCTTGATTGGTTACTGTTGACCTTAAACCTGTCGTTGTTCGCACCTGTTGACCCTAGTGTTCTTTGTCCTCCCCCTACTTAGAGATTTTAACTATGTGCAACATTTCTCGGGAATTCAATCGAAATCAGCCATAAAAAGGATTTTTTTTTAGAGTGGCTATTTCAGATTTGTAAACCTACTCTATATATCCCGTTGAATTTGACGCCACAAAGTTTGTATTCTTCAGTGCTGATTTTCAAGCATTATAAGACTTTTGCTTTTTTTCATTTTCTTATGTATTTTCGAGTCAAGTAGGGAATCATTAGGATTTTAGTCATAGTCTAAATTAAAAGTGATGTGTTTCTGTCTCAAAATCCTTAGCGTATGGTGGTGCAATAAAAAATAACGCCTCCAACTATCCAATACCAGTCTAGGTACAAGATATCAAGCTATCTGGTTAAAAATAACGTCATCATGAAGTGAATAGATGAAGTTTGATGATTAATTATGAATTATTATATAACCATAAACAATATTCGTTTATTACTCGATGACTGATCAACAATGCAAGTAAGAAAAAAAATAGTTTTATTTGAACAACACAGATATAAGTGAACAATAATTGTTGTTTTCGTATTAGATCGTCATCAGGCTGCTTTACTTTAATATATACATGAATGATTTATATGAAAATGTTAAACCAATCAAAGCAATGTGAGTGATAATCACAATGAAATGAAATAGCGGTTACGTCACTACACCTCTAATAGGCAGAAGTACAAGTGGATAGTAGGAAGACAGGTGTACTGATAGAGTAGTAAGAAAATTATAAAGTTGTTTTATGAAGATATTCATCTGACTAATTACAATTCAAGTCATTTGTTTCTCCTACATTTTATTATTTTTTTAGTTATTATGCAAATATCATATTTTTAAATAAATTCCCAAGTGTTAAAACTAACCTAACAAACGAATTATCACATATTACTTTTACTTACATTACATTCTACATAAAAGGCATCGTTTTATAATTGGTGTTACATATGTACACTCAACTTTAAAAACTTCATTACATAGTATGGCTCAAAATCGTTCTCAATGGCGCCGGTGCATTTATTCTCTGTGTTCTTTCAAATCCTCCCGACCGAAGCTGCTACCTTGACGTGGTGGTCGGGCTTGCCTATCGTGATGACCCAACCGAGCTATAATGGCTGGAACACATGTTCCTGCAGGTCCTACCATGCCAGGCAGGTCGATTGGAGAACGATGAGACTAAAAGCAGCTACCCAAGGTCTGAGGGCGAAGTCGTACTGCTGACTGCAGAGGGGTGTGACAGCAGTAAGGTGTTTCCCTCGGACAACCAGCATCTGCAGCGATGCTGCCTTCTCACAAGGAAGGAAGGGTTAGAAAAGGTCGACCCTAAAAATGTCACACCTCCCCTAACTCACGGAGTTCCGTCTCCTTGGGTAAGGGTGCCCACTAAGGGCCTTTAAGAACGGAGATAATCCTCAAAAAACATTTCATAAAAAGGCCGTGCGTGACCGGCCTCAAGCAGTTGTCCCTTGTGCTCTGCGGTCACGCACCAACACTAATCCATCTTCCTTTTCAGGTTCGTCAAGAAACAACCTTCCACGGTGTGGGCAGCCGGGAAGTGATAACCGCCCTCATACCCATAACAGCACACGAGACAAAATTGTTCAAAATCAAATCCTTCCTACATTCCCTAATACCTCTCTTATCTCCACAACTAACTCTTCTCACATTCATTTATTACAGTGCACATCTAATGCAAACGATGCGAGTTTGCGAAACCTCGTTCCTGGTCTCCTTAAACCCCGTTCCAAACTACATGTTGGAGCATTCAATGTACGGACATTGTGTCAAATAGTGCAACAGGCTTCCTTAGCTAGGACTTTAGAATCTCGTTCCATCGATGTGTGCTGCGTCTCGGAAACGCGCATACAGGATCCGAGTAGCATCACTCATTTGACCTCACTATGTCAAAATAAAGAAGCAGCTCGATTTACTCTTCGTGTATCCGGTAGCCCTGATGCTGCTTCTAGGGGCCTCGCCGGTGTAGGTATAGCATTGAGTCGTAGGGCAGAACAATCTCTCCTTGACTGGATCCCTGTAGATAGTCGCTTGTGCGCCGTCCGACTCAACGGGACAGTAAGGACTCGGAAAGATAGGGACACTCGCCGTTGCCTCTTCGTCATATCAGCCTACGCCCCCACTGACTGCAGCCCAGATGATGTAAAAGATGAGTTTTACAGAAAGCTTTCGGACCTCCTCCAAAAAGGTTAAGCGCTCTGATATAGTTATAATGGCTGGTGACTTCAATGCACAAGTAGGTAGACTAAGTGAAAATGAAAGACATCTAGGTGGATGTTACGGTCTCGCGGCTCAAAGAACAGATAGTGGCGACCGTCTGTTGCAACTGTGCTCAGATAACCAACTATTTCTAGCAAACACTAATTTTAAGCATAAGGAAAAACACCTTTTGAACCTGGCGACCCCCGAAGTCGTCTCAACGTTGGACACAACTAGATCATATCGCCATCAGCCACCGATGGAGGGGTTCGATAGAGGACTGTCGCTCGTTCTGGGGCACATGTTTGGATTCAGATCATGCCCTAGTGCGAGCTCGTATCTGTTTGAGGCTTGCTGGACGTAGGAAAGACACCGTAAGGAAGCCTCTTAGGGCTTTACTTGATGATAATCAAGCTAAGAAAATATTTCAGGAGGAACTAGAAAAACAGTTGGGCGATCATGCAAGTGATTCCCATCCGGAGTCAGGTTGGAATGATATAAAGAAGGCTGTGGAAACAGCAGTGATATCTGCTAGCAAGGTAAACCACAAGGCTAGGATGAAGCCGTGGATTTCAGTCGAATCCACCGAACTGATGGATGCACGAAAATGCATCCCACCTGACTCTGAACATGATGAAGAGCGTACTCAACTTAGGCGCAGACTTATAAAAAGCCTACGTAACGACCGTGAACAGTGGTGGGTGGCGAAAGCAAAAGCGATGGAAAAGGCAGCGGCGATAGGCAACACTAGACAACTTTTCCGCCTTATCAAAGAAACCGGTATTAGGAACCCGAATGTAAGTGAGACTATCTCGGAAAAGGATGGTCTCATTATCCATTCTCAATCTAGGAGGCTGGACCGATGGGCAGAACACTTTAGGGATCAGTTCAACTGGCCTTCAGCCACTCTTCGGTTGCCCACGATCTCCAGTCATCCTGAATGGCAAATCGATTTAAGTCCTCCCAGTTTACATGAAGTTGAGAAAGCTATAGGAAATCTAAGGGGAGGTAGAGCGGCAGGTCCCGATAGGCTTACCCCTGAGATGTTTAAGGATGGTGGTCCAGTTTTAACGGTTAAACTGACCGAGATCGTAGGTAGAATCTGGGAAATGGACGTAATCCCATCTGACTGGTCTCAGTCGCTAATTGTCCCAATCTACAAGAAAGGACAGAAGTCCTCTTGTGACAATCACAGGGGAATAAGTTTAACTAATATAGTTTCTAAATTGTTAGCCTCGATTATACTTAGACGTCTAACTAGAGCTCGCGAAGAGCAGACTCGAGAAAACCAGTCTGGTTTTCGACCTGGACGTGGTTGTATAGACCACATCTTCACACTACGACAGGTCCTGGAACACAGACACACATTTAGACGTCCGACAATAGTCGTGTTCCTGGACCTTAAGGCGGCATTCGACTCAGTGGATCGTGAGGTTCTGTGGCAGTGTCTGTCATTGAAAAGTGTACCAAAGAAGTACATTAACCTTATACAAGCACTCTACTCGAACACCACTGGTCGGGTGAGAGCATATGGCGAACTGTCATCTGAATTCTCTACATCAAGTGGTGTCTGTCAAGGATGTCCACTTTCTCCATTCTTGTTCAACTTTGTCGTAGACATCCTCTTAGAGTTAACATTAAGCTCGTCAGATTTTTCAGGGGTTGACCTTCTACCAGGAAAGTCGCTTACTGATCTAGAATATGCCGATGACATAGTTCTATTCGGTGAAGACGCTGACAAAATACAGAGTCTTCTGACTACCATAAGCAACAATGCAACAATGTTCGGGATTCGGTTTTCCCCCTCGAAATGCAAAATGTTGCTTCAAGACTGGGTTGCTTCGGCACCTGAACTAGTGATAGGGAGTGAAGTAGTCGAGTGTGTAGATCACTTCACTTATCTGGGGAGTCTCATCAGTGCTGACGGTCTGGTGACTGACGAAATCTCAGCTCGGATACAGAAAGCTCGATTGGCTTTTGTCAACCTGCGTCACTTATGGCGTAGGCGTGATATCCGTTCGCTAACCAAAGGGCGGGTGTACTGCGCAGCAGTTCGTTCCGTTCTCTTATATGGCTGTGAAACATGGCCGTTAAGAGTAGAAGATGTTCGTAGGTTACTAGTATTCGATCATAGATGTTTAAGAAGCATTGCTCGTATATCGTGGGACAGCCGAGTAAGCAATGGTGTCGTTAGGAAACGAGTACTAGGTAAGGATGGCAGATCAATCGATGAAGTGGTGAAACTTCATCAGTTGAGGTGGTTGGGACATGTGTTACGTATGCCTAACCACCGACTGCCTCGACGAGCTATGTTTTGTGGTGTAGGAGTAGGTTGGAAGAAAGCTAGAGGCGGCCAGACCAAAACATGGCACAAATCCATGAAGTCACTGACAAGTGTACTAAGTCATGTTGGTAGATGTAGACTACCTGGTTGGGGTCCGCGAGACGAAAGTCATCAATGGTTAGAGACCTTGAACTACATGGCTCAAAATCGTTTGCAATGGCGCAGGTGCATCCACTCTTTGAGCTCTCTCAAATCCTAATCTTCTGGATTAGCCAGCACCTCTACCTTTGTCTTTCTAACCTTATCTCACTGAATTATATTTTTTGAATAATATCTTAAACCCTAGTCTTCTTTATTATAACATTAATACCTCTACCATCTTTATCACTATGGGATTTGATTTGACATTTGCGTCTCTGTGCTAATAATGTGGTATGGCAACATGAACTTATGTACATACGTACGTAGTTCTACGTTGCAACTGACTGACTGACTGACTCTTTCAAATCCTAATCTTATGGATTCTTCAACACCTCTAGTTATGACTTTCTAAACTTTTCTCATTTAATCATACTTCATGAATAATATCTTCTCATCCTAACCTCTCCGATTACTTCTAATACCTTTACTACCTCTTCTACTATTGGATTTGAATTGACAATTACATCTATGTGATGATGTGGTATGGCGTCATGAACTGATGTACGTACTTACGTACGAAGTTCTACATTGCATCTGACTGACTGACTAGGCTTCTTTTTTCTATATATTCAACTAATTCACCTGATGTTTATTTTATATTTTATGATAGGATGGACGTTTACAAGTTGGTGATCGTTTATTATCTATAGATGGTCAAAATTTATCTGGATTATCTACTACTGATGCACTTAATCGATTAAAATCTGTTATTGCTAAAGATTTGAATAAATCTCCTAATCCATGTGTTCATCTTTTAATTGCTCGACCTCGTGATGGAATTAATTCAGATAATTCTTATGCAAATTCAATGGAAAATACAAGTGACAGTACAATTAATAAAAGCATCAATTCTAATCAGCGTAAATCTTCTTCGGAAGTGGTAAGCATATGTATATATATTTATGTAATATGATAGATTCTGAAATCTTTGACTTTCACTGATAGGACTATCTAAGTTCATCAATACAATGAACCAGTTTACTACTGTTACTGCGCATCAAGATTGTGAACAATCGGTGAATATTTGTAGTTTACAATGAAGCTATTGTGAAGGTGTTGTAGTCTCTAAGTTAAATAATTTGGTTATAGAGTTTTCATTATTCTACTAAACAACATATTGAACAACATAATTCAAAAGGAAGTTAGTTGCTGAAATTTAGATGTATGAAGTCTAGAGTCTAATCCCATCAATCATACTGATCTGCAAAATTATCTACTTATTTACTTACTTCTATTATCTCTAATGAAGCGTAGGCCGCCGACCAGCATTCTCCTACCAACTCAGTCCTGGGTCTTCCTTCCCAGTTTTACACAACCGCTATTGATTCTTTTCAAGTCTGTCTCCAATTCTCAGCCCAGTGTGTCCCTCTAAATCTACCTCTTTTCCTTTGCCTCCGAGAGTTCCGAGTTAAGGTTAGGTTCTGCAATGTCTATCCTATCCACCTCCATGGCCTTTTCCTTATTTCTTCATCAGCTGGAGTCTGCTTTGTTCTCTCTTACAGTAGGTTGTTGCTGATGATATCTGGTCAACGGATCCACAGTATCTTGCCTGTTTGTAAAGTTCTCCACCTTCAGAGCTTTTTTATCAAGTGTGATTTGGTTTGTGCATGTTGTGTTCCATCTTAGGCTCTTGCTTTTTGCCTTGTGCATATTGAGACCTACTGCTGAGCTGGGGCTATTGCTCCTACATTGGCTGTCTTAATCTGCATTTGTCGTTCTATGTGTGTTAGAAGAGCCGGATGATCTCCGAAGTCCAAATCTTCCGGCTTCATCCAAGCTGTCTACTGTATGCCGTACTTGCCCTGGCTTGCTGATGTCTTCTTAATCCAGTCAACCACCAGAAGAAAGAGAAAGGTTAAGTGTAAGAAACCTTGTCTGAGATTGGTTTTCACTTGAAATGAGTCTGTGAGCTGTCCTCAATGCACGATGTTGTAGTTTAATCCATCATAAGAATTCCGCATGTTGTTGAATATCTCCTTCCTAACTTATTAGTCATGCAGATGAAATCGATCTTGTTCTGTGTAGCAGGTTTCGTTGAAACCCATGTGGTTTTATGTTTGCGTTTGTGTGGGAATATGGTGCCATAGATTTGCGAATCTTTCACCGTTTTCGTTCGTTTCTCCCAATCCATGTCATCTTATCATGTCTTCATATCGATTGTCCCATTTCAACCTTGGCGTTTAGGTCTCCCACCAAAATGGTTAAGCCATTTGTTTAGCACTATTACTAAGTGCAGCTTCTCATAGAATTGATCCTGAACATCCTCACTGTTATCGTTGGTAGGCGCTTAGAACTAAATGATATTGTTATCGCCTCTTTGTTTTGAAGGATGCTTTCATGATTCTGGGTCCATGAGATTCCCATCCTGTAAGTGTATTTTGTGCTTGTTTGGACAGCGTCAGTGCAACTCCTTGTATGCGTGAGGCATTTTCTTATTCTTGGCCGGAGTATAACACCAGCTCCCCAGAAGTTAGTCCTAGTTGTCCAACCTGCGTCCAATGTGTTTCACTGATTCCAAGCACCTCTAGGTTGTATCGTTTCTGTTCTGCAGCAACTCGTATGATTCTCCCGGATTCCAACAATGTACGAACATTCCATATACCTATATAAATAATGTTGCTCTTGGTTGTGAGAAAGGGTATCGGCCTCGTGCCTTCCGAAGAAACGTGGCTTTCATCATGAGCCGTTCTAAATCTACTGAATGAAAACCTTTCATCTTCTAGGCTAAGGTTTGAATGGTTGAGATGACCTTTATATGGTTAGCATCTTCTTAGCAAATTGGTTTTCTACGGGATGGGGTTGTTACGGCCTATGCCCAACCGTCCTTTATCTGGGCAAAGGACGAACGGTAACCTTTAGAAGGGTTCCAGGCAGAGTTGTTCGTCTAATCTGGCAAGGCTTAATTACATATTTTTTTATGACCTTTTTATGGTAATATTTTTATTTAAGTGATTTTTTCCTGCATATTAAAATAAGTTTCTCACAGTATATCTACAACATATGACTGTATTTTTGTCTATTACTTCCGAATAATCAATTACTAACTTCTCTGTTATCTGTAGCGTAGAGTACAATGTAACAGTGGTTTAGTGTTAAGGTGCTGACCTATCAACTTACAAGTCTTAGATTCAAATCTCACTCCACCTACTTCAATTTGTGCAATCCGGTAACAGTAACATTAGTCTTGACACTTAACATGTTGTTCATGTCCAAGTATCATAACTAGACCGTCAAGGTAGGTTATTATTGAGCATTCTTAGCTCATTCATATATCAGATTCCCTTAGCCAATGTAACTTTGTGATCACCACATCAACCCTGTAGTAGTCACAATACACTACATTATTTTTATCGTCTGTATATATGTATATATAAACAAACTCTGTAAGTTTTATTTTTATTTTAATTTTTAGATAACAAAAGAATCACATGATGTTAATAGTGTTAATTCGAAACCGTTACTAGTCTCTGCTGTTGTACATTCATCAGAACCTGTTACAGTACTGAGTGGGAATTCACATGCATCACCTGTAAAATACTCTTTATCATCTAATACTCATCGTGCTTCAACTAATATACCAGCATCGTCATCGTCATCATCATACCAATCAAACGTACAAAACCGCTCAACCAATCAATCTAATACCTCCTACCCTCTGTGTATCAATCACAATTCTCAGGTTAGATTTACTAGTTAATTCAATGTATTCTCATTTATATATAACATTCATTAGACCAAAACATGGCAGAAATCCATGAAGTCACTGACAAGTGGACTGAGTCATGTTGGTAGATGTAGGCGACGCGTGGTTGGGGTCCGCGAGACGAATGTCACCAATGGTTAGAGACCTTGAACGACATGGCTCAGAATCGTTTGCAATGGTGAGCGCAGGTGCATCCACTCTTTGTGTTCTCTCTAATTCTAAGCTTCTGAATTCCTCATAATCTCTATCTTTCTCCTTCTAAATTTATCTCACTGAATTATATTTTTGAATCATATCTTCGCTCCCTAATCTTCTCCATTACTGCTAATACTTCTATTATTGTTATCACTGTTGGATTTGAAGTGACAGTTACGTCTTTGTGCTGATGAAGCATGGCAACGTGAACTGATGTACGTACGTACGAAGTTCTGCGTTATATCTGTCTGTCTGTCTGTCTCTATATAACATTCACCGTTATTCAATGTTGATGGTACTAACCATAATTATTGATAGTGCAGTCAACATTTCAAACTATTGAAACAATTAATTCATTTGAAAGAAGTTTTTTTTGCTACCATGAGAAGTACACTATTTTTTTAAGCCACTTACAAGATATTTATTTTATTGTTCGTACATTCCTAGCTTTATAAAAGAATTGAATTGGCAATTTTAGTGACTGCCTTCATCTTATGAATTATTTTCGTTCATATAAATATTCAGTAATCTTCTGTTTACAATACAAGGGAGTATTTTAAGCATGATCAAGGGTGATTTGTGTTGTTGCTGCGTATGCCTAACCACCGACTGCCTCGACGAGCTTTGTTTTGTAGTATAGGAATAGGTCGGAAGAAAGTTAGGGGCGGCCAAACCAAAACATGGCAGAAATCCATAAAGTCATTGACGAGTGGACTGAGTTATGTTGGTAATTGTCGACTACCTTGTTGGGGTCCGCGAGATGTTGGTAATCGATGGTTAGAGACCCTCAATGACATGGCTCAAAATCGTTCGCAGTGTGGCAGGTGCATTTATTCTTTGTGTTCTCTCAAATCCTAATCTTCTGGATTCTTCAACCCCTCTACTTTTGACTTTCTCACTTAATCACATACTTTTTGAATAATATCTTCTAATCCTAACCTCTCCGATTACTTCTAATACCTTTACTTCCTCTTCTACTATTGGATTTGAATTGACAATTACATCTCTGTGCTGATGTGGTATGGCAACATGAACTGATGTACTTACGTACGAAGTTCTACGTTGCATCTGACTGACTGATTTGTGTTGTTTAGCAAACTGGGGGGTCGAAACAATTGTATTCATTTAGCCTCATTGTATAGATTTATGAATATCATATTTAAAATTCTCGTATCCTTTATAGTCAACTAACTTTATGACCCAGGATCTCGTAGTAAATTTTATACTTTTAAATAAAATTTAAAAAAAAATTGTGACACGTTAATTTATGCTATACAGTAAGTAATTCAATGCCAACATTTCTGTTCTGGTAAATTAATTTTTGTTAAATGTCTTAATTTATGTAAATTTCAATAGGTCAATAATTTCTGAAAACTATCTTTAATGAATTGACCTTGATATTATCATTCGGCGACATACAGAACAAGGTCAAAGAGCAATACATCTTTTTTTTGTCACTTACTTTATAACTTTTTTGACCACTTTCAACTAAGATTGTCAAGATCTGTATTGTTTACTCATTCTATTGCTTAGTGCTAGATATTTAGCTACACTTTTGATGAAATAGTTAAAGTTATGTGATGGAGTTTCATTCTCTAAGCTCGATGTTTTCTATTGTGGAGCTTTCATAGTTAGAGTTAGTATTGTAGTGAAGGAGAACACAGGTGAGGGCAACCGAATTGTATTTAACGAAAATTACAGAGTTACTCAGTAAAATTTGGAAAACCATATCGTAAATCATTAATTTGCAAAATATCAGTTCATCATATCGAACTGGACTGTTCCTGTTGCAAAACATCAATCGATTTTCACTATTCATGCGTTTCATACAAATTCCATTGTGTTCCCACTCTTCCTTTCTTCTTGATCTTCCCCCATGTTCTGCTGCCAGACATTACGTTGACACTCACGTCATATACTACTTATAAGTAGCTCGCACCACACTCTTCCCCCCTTTTAATAAGCTGTCGTCACTTTCGAAACAGGGACCCTGGTCAGTTAATATCACCTTCCGTATTCCGTGACGCGCTACAATATGCCGGATTACTACTTCGGTCATTGTTCTTGCCCGCTGGTCTGGAATGGGTACGGCATCTACCAACGTGTAGCGTTTACTAATTCCCGCTGCTGGGACACGGCGGCAGGCGCTCTCTCGATAAATTGCGACGTTAACAACTGTGCCCCCGGCAGCGTACGGCGCAGCAACGTCGTGAGCTCCACAGCCAGCACCAACGGGTCACCATCAGCCGACAGCCTCGCCAACTGGAGCTTTCATAGTTGGAGTTATAATGACTCGATTGTCTAACTGGAACAACTAGTGATGCAGATTATATAACAGTTTAAGGTGTGAACATAATATTTACTTTTCGAATATCTAAGTTTCATTAAATGTATACTTACTCTAAACCACAAGCTTTTTTTATATACTTGTGAAGATTTCTTAGTCTTAACTAACCTTGATCCTATTTCCTAGCCACTTCTGATAACCTCATTTCAAATCTTTGCAGCAGCTTCAACCAAATAAAAAAAAGCTTTACTCCAAGGTAAAAAAGGTTATGTATAGAAAAAAGTAGGTGTGTTACAGAGCCTCATGCAACCGTTGACTTCTAGAAGTTTCTGGAACCATATTAACTATAGTGATGGTCTGGGTAAATATGCAACAAAAACCGTGACACGTTATTCTGTGTTTTCCAGATGTTTCTGCGAACCTCTTCTTCAACACTGAGCGGATAAAATGTTTCGTGGTGTTTCTAGATATCTGGTGACTTTTCTTCTGAACACTTTAAGACTGTCCAACACTAAGCTACTCAACAATATAATGCTTTGTATAATAAGACTTGATGGTCGTAAGTTATAGTCTTAAAAAACAGTCTAAATATATACTTTATTTTCTAAATATGAAACTTTATTATCCCAACCGTATGATGTAACTAAAATGGTATCTAAATCTGTAAACTACAATCCAAATATACTAAAACACTCATCATTAAAAGGATGTCGCATTAAGACATCTACTATGGATACCTACACAGCAAACAGAGACTGGTCATGTGGTTGTGTAGCTTTTGAATATGATCAACATGGGGGAAAAAATTCAAATCCAAGTGACAATTTGCTAGTCTATGCTAGACTTCAGTGTGTTGTTACGGGTATGGGGGCGGTTGCCACTTCCCGGCTGCCCACACCGTGGAAGGTTGTTTCTTGAGGAACCTGAAAAGGGAGGTAGATTAGCGTCGGTCTTAACGATCGAGGAGCGTGACCGCAGAGCCCAAGGGACAACTACTTGAGGCCTGTCACACACGGCCTTTTTATGAAAGGATTTTTGAGTGTCAGCTCCGTTCTTGAAAGCCCTTAGTGGGCACCATTACCGACGGAGACGGAAATCTGTGAGGTAAGGTGAGGTGTGACATTTTTAGGGTCAACCTTTTCTAACCCTTCGTTCCTTGTGAGAAGGAAGCATCGCTGCAAATGTTGGTTGTCCGAGGGAAACATCTTACTGTTGTCACACCCCTCTGCAGTAGTCAGCAGTACGACTTCGCCCTCATACTTTGAGTAGCTGTTCTTAGTCTCATCGTTCTCCAATCTACTTGTCTGGCATGGTAGAACCTTCAGGAACATAAGTTCCAGCCAATATAGCTGGGTTAGGTCATGACGATAGGCAAGCTCGACCATCACGTCAAGGTAGCAGCTTTGGTTGGGCTATGCTAGATTTAATTCCTAACTAATATTTTATGTGTTTTTCATTGATATGAATATTTATTGGATTATTTTACTATTCTGACTTATTATGGTTTATCGTTTATCTAGTAGTATATTATCGTCTGATTGTTTAAGTATAAGATTCACAATCTAATCCCTCTAGTTGCGCAAGTGCATCCACTCTTCGTGTTCTCTCAAATCTTATCTTCTGGATTGGTCAGCACCTCTACCTTTGTCTTTTTAACCTTATCTCACTGAATTATACTTCTTGAATAATATCTTCAAACCCTAGTCTTCTTCATTACCATTAATACCTCTACTATCTTAATCAATATGGGATTTGATTTGACATTTGCATCTCTGTGCTAATAATGTGGTATGGCAACATGAACTTATGTACATACGTACGAAGTTCTACGTTGCAACTGACTGACTGACATTGTTTATCAAATGGGAAAAAAAAGATAACGACGCTGATAACTTTCTATTTATTCTCTCTCTCTCCCTCTCTTATCTGTTTGGTTTTTCAGAGGTTAATTTAAATGTTTCTATCACTCTGAGTAGCTGCTATTATCCTCCTTCCTTATTGATTCATTAAATCGTTTGATTGTCTTTTTTTTGTTGTTGCTCTTTTTAAAACTACTTCATCATCATACATTCTGGTATATTTGCTAGTCAGTCAGTAAATAAATTCACAGTGTAACCTAAAAAAAAAGAAATTAGCATGATATTGTTTTTGTATGCTGATTAGAATAAAGATGATGTATAATTTCATTTCATTCTTATTGTTATATATTGCTTGCTACTCTCTCTGTTATTTTATCTAGGCTTACAATACTTTTTTTTAGATATAGTTGAACTCTTTTTTACATTGCTGCCTTTGTATTACTAATTTTGGTATAATAATAATAATATGACCTACTCTTCAACTTCTTTCCTCATTTCATTTACATTCTTTTTTGGTAAAATATTATTACAAGTTATAGATATATTGTTTTTTTGTATAAAACCGTTGATTCATCAGTGAATAAATAAGTTAAAAAGTGAATTGAATAATTATTACTACTATTATTATTAGTAGTAGTAGTAGTAGCAGTAGTAGTGTAGTGAAGGAGAACACAGATGATGGCAACCGCATTGTATTTAACGAAAATTACAGAGTTACTCAGTAAAATAGGAAAACCAACCATATCGTAAACGGTTAATTTGCAAATCTTCAGTCCAATTCATCATCTCCATTGTCTGACATTTCACTATTCATGCTATTTCATACAAATTCCATTGTGTGTTCCCACTCTTCCTTTCTTCTTGATCTTCCCCCATGTTCTGCTGCCAGACATTACGTTTACACTCGCGTCATATACTACTTATAAGTAGCGCGCACCACAGTAGTAGTGGTGACGTTAGGGTTTGGCGTCGTTTACTATTTATCTTTTTTTTTATTTCAGTTACTTTAATAAACAATCATTTTTCATGAAAAATTTGACAAAATCTAATTTCTAATATTCATACCGTCAACATATACTCTCTGTACATTGGTTAGAATTGTTTTGTGATGTAACAGCGAAATGAATATATTCTAAAATTATATTGGTACTTGTATGACAGTTCGACACTACGGCTTGCTTGCCTTAGAAGATAGTCAACATCATACGAAATTCTTATGATGGATTCAAATGCAAAATCGTGCACACAGGTCGGCTGACAAATTCGTTTGAGGTGAAGACCGGTGTCAGGCAAGGTTACTTATTATCACCTTTTCTTTTTCTCCTGGTGATCAACTGGATTATG